CATTCAAGAGAGAGAGCTACATTGAGTTATGTTGTTGGTGTTGCCCTGTTGGGCTTGGACATTGACTCACGATTCTTCTGTATCATTCTCAAATGGATGGTTACTCGGTTCCATTGTGATATCTACTCTTGCTTTGACTACTTGGACTTCAGTGTGATTTTGCAATCTGGATTTCTGTGCTTCGTCCATATTCATGTTCCTTGCAGGTGACGAGGGCGGCCCGGCTGGTAGCCTAGCTCTAAAGTATTTTCAAATTAAATTAAAATCGGATTAATTGAATTTATTCGAAAAGAATTAATGCAACGAAAATGAACAGAAGCGAGCTGCCAATATTCAAATTGCACAATCACATTGAAAGCCAAATCGTAACACAGTGTTCAGGAAGCAGCATTGCACCAATATAACACCAATGGAGAATCGTAGCAGTGAAAGTCAATGTCAATGAGAGCTTGCTCTCGCCACCACCAACATATGTATCCAGTCTCTATCTCCCTACACAGCTACTACTAGCCTACTAATTGACAATGCAACTGTTGACGTCAACAACACCCGAAGTACATGAAGATGTCGCTCATGCAGAACCATCGTCAATACCAGGTATGTGCCCTCACATCATCATCATCATCATCATCCTTCTCTCTCTCCCTTGACTCTCTACCACGTCTCCCTTTGTTGTACACCCAAAGACCACCCCTGCGCCTCACTGTTCATCCAAGCCTTGCCAGCTATGGAGGCTGGGCTATGGCGTTGCCCTCAGCAGCGCCCTGCTCCCTGCACGACCGCACGTGCCTGCACCTCGCCGCTCAGCGCTAGAAGCAGCCCACGAGCTTCAGCTCCAGCAGCCCTGCCGCCAGCATGCGAGTGCCCGAATGACTGGCCAGGCAGCGAGCCTGCCTCGTTCGGCAGCCTGCTGGATTGGCCTGGGCCCAAAAGCTTCCAGTAGGCCCCAGGATGCTGCGCCTCTGAAGCAACTACTGGGCCTCATTCGGTTGGGCCTTCCAACTGTATGTGTATGAGGCTGCGAATCCCGCTCAGGGCCTGTACTTTCAGAAAGGCCTAGAAGGCCGGGGAATTTCCACGCTGCTCGGCCTTTGTTTCCCTTCAACCAACTGGCGCGACGAAACTGCCTAGACCCCAAATGCGAAATTGACACCCAAGGGCCTCTCGTGATTTGTTAGGCCCTCCTTCGCTTAGGGCGGGCACATATGCTGCAGGGGGCCCCTTGGGCCTGCTGAGGACCCATATCCTCGCATTCCCTCCTCCTGTACTTCGATAGTCCTCTGAGAAGTTTTCTATTCTGCAGGCATCTTCCCTTTAAGATCTCTTTCATAGCCTGCAATGACTTGAGGTGCAGTTCTCACAAGTAATTCTCTGGTGAACCACCGATCTTCGCTGGGGGCTTAGGAGGGCGGCCTCTGCCCGGTGGTCGAGGAACTGGCATCAGACGATGCTCCACTTCGCCATCCATGGTTGGGGGCAGCATTGATCTCCTGGATGGAAACTGATCTGTGGCAGTGAAAGGTGCCAGCTTGGATGCATGGAAAACAGGGTAAGTACGCAACTGTGGAGGAATGCGAATTATGTATGAAGGCCCATCCGGTTGATCCCCTACAATGTCTAAGATTTCCCAGGGCCCAAAGCACTGTGGCATCAGTTTTCGTGAAATCCCCATCTCCTGACCTAGTTCAGATGACTTTACCCAGACTCTATCACCTACCTGAAAGTTAGAGGGCCGTCTATGTTTATTCTCAGATGCGATCATAGCATCCTGAGACTTCCTAATATGTTCAACGGCCTGCTGCAACATCTGTTCATACTTGACAGCATACTCTATGCTCCCAGGTGCTGCAGTGGGTTGCCTTTCTGGTAGCAGAAAGTCAAGTGCACTTTTGGGCTTCCAACCAAGATGCAGCTGGTTGGGAGTCATACCAGTAGTACTGTGTGCAGCATTGTTGTACAGGCTGGCGAAGAAAGGTAACTTCTCGTCCCAGTCATCCTGACTTGGCTTAATATAATGCCGAAGCAGGTGCTGTACTACCCGGTTCATCTGTTCTGCCTGGCCATTCGACTCAGGGTGATTCCCTGGCGTCATTTGGAGTTTGGTACCCATCTGTTCAGCTGACGTTTGCCACAGTTCGCTGGTAAACCTTACATCCCTGTCACTTACTATCGACGTAGGTAGTCCAAAATCCCTGACCCAGTTATCCAGAAACAGTTTGATGACATAGTCGGTTTTAGCAGTTTTTGGCATAGCGATTAGTCTTGCATACTTAGAAAAGCGGTCCACTATCACGAAAATGTGTTTTTTTCCAGACCTGCTGGTCACAAGGGTATCCATGAAATCCATGGACACACTCTGACCAGGACCTTCAGGAATCGGCAAGGGCTTGATGAGCCCAAGCGGAGCCTTTGGCAAACCTGGCAGGTTTCAACATACCTTTTTGCATCTTGCATCATAGTGGGCCACCAGAACTTCTGCACTAAATTAGCTGAAGTCTTGGGGTGTGGAGGAGGGGGATATGGTCGTGCTGACGACCATAAAGGCGGGGCAGTTTCCCTCGAGCGTGGTGACACGATCGGAGATGGCGGCCATGGTGGTGTTGATGGTGGGGAGGGAGGATTTGAGGGCGGTCAACGTTTGGAGGATAGTTGCGAGTTCCGGGGTGGTGGTGGTCGAAGTTGGCTGATTGCCTGCGAGTTCATGGACAATGCTGTTGACGGAGTTGGAACGAAGATCAAACATGTTGGTGGAAGATTGGGCCATGGCGGGGGAAGAGCGGGTGGATGACGTGGCCGAAGCGGAAGCGGAGGCGGGAGCAGCAGATGTGATAGCGGCAGCAATGGCGGCGGCAGCGGCAGCGGCAGCGGCAGCGCATCGGCGATGGCGCGTTGGGAGGTCTTGGTTTGGCGTGGTGGCATGTGGAGATGAGGGGGACAATTCCTATTTACAAGAATAGAGCGTCATCAAGTGATTTAGCAATGAAGGTAACAGAGAATCGCAGAGCAAAAATTATTTTTGAATAAATTAATTTGAATTTATTCAAAATTAATTCGAAAGTGTATTTTTCAAAAAATACAAAAGCAAAATTTTTAGGAATTTCCAAATGAAAAGAAATAATTGATTTCGAGAAAAATAAATTCTGACGAAATTTATTCGGATTTACGTTCGGGTTCTAAATAAAAAGGGAAATTTGAAAAAGAATTGCGAAAAAGAATTTTTCGAATTTCAAGAAAAATTGCAAAAAGGAAATTTAGGAATTAAAATAATTGCGAAAAGGAAATATCAAAAATAATTATAATTTCTAACATATTTCCAAAAGTATTAAAAGTAGTCTTGGAAAAGAGAAGAAAAGAAAAGCAATGTTGAGAAAGACTTAATTAATTCGAACGAAAAGAACTTACTTAAAAAAAAAAAAAATCCGAAAACAATTAATGAAAATTATTTTTGAAGTTCGAGGAAGGAAAACGTAATTGTTACGATCCTGGTCATTTCCCAAGTGCAAATTCACAATGAAAGACAATGCCACCCAATTGCGAAAGAAATGAAAGCACTTGCAAAGAGATAAAGACCAGAGGAGAG